GTTTTTTCATTTTCCAGTGTTTTTTTTTTTTTTTTTCAACTATGTTAATGTTCTCTTGCTTTGCTGCCGAGGGAATTAAAGAAAGAGTGCAGTATAATACTCGCCTTCGTGTCTAATAAAATCATGACTTTACATCATGAAATTAGTAAAATCTCGGTACTTTAACCATATATTGTGCTAGCGGATTTTGCTAGAAAAAGAGAGAGATTAGGAGATAAATCTATTTAATGTCGAGGCATTGACTGACCAGGGAGAGCAGAAAAGACCTCCTACAGGAGATCCCTCTACTCTTCACCCATAGCAACCACAGCAAATACACTGTGGTTGCTATCGAAACTATTCTATAACTGGCAAGGGAGTATAGGAATGAAATTACATCACATCACTCCCTTCCGGCGCCGGCATTGAGACTGGTGTGCCGACGTAACTGACAAGATTTGCCCTGCTTGGGGATGCATCCCAAGCAGGAAAAATCAAATAAGACTTCAGAAGGAGAGCAGGTAGAGCGGAGGAGGGCCAGGAGGTGGGTGAACAGAGTAACAGTGACAAAATCTTTATATTTAGCATTCAGTACAATATAGGAGCAATTTCAGGTAACTTTGTTTATTCCATAACAGGTTCACTTTAAGTACATTAATATATGCATATAATACTAGCAGTATTATACAAGTAGGTATTTCTATACTTGCTTAGTATATTTATTACTTTGAAACTCTTTTTTTCAGTATGGAGAGTTAAAAAACTATTTCCGTTAATGAATGAAAGTGAACAAACTGGACCTGACACTGTGTTCAAGGAACCGAATTAAATGTACCATATGCAGCAGCAGAACTAGTGGATGATAATTAAAATGAATTATGTAACATGAGGTATACAAATATGGGTGTTTTCGGTCACGAATTGCTAAATGATAAAAGAAACATACACACTTTAAACTAGTCCCCTGTCTACAACACGAGTTACATTTTGAAATCTGTTTTGGATTAGAGGTTTGGTTATAGCACAAGTTCTTCTGCTAATAAAAGGGCATTCATAAACTTCTCAAATATCCGTGTGTGTTTATGGGGTTTGACGATAAGTAATATATTTCTCAAGTATACATGTGATTGTTTACAAGCTGAAACAGAAAGTAGCATATCTGAAAGTGTGTCTTCTGAAAGAAGCTTCATCAGAAATGTATCAAGGCTTAAATACACCTAGTTGAGCACTCATTTAGTAAAAATTGCAGCACTCGCTACTGTCAATCATTCAAAGTGGTTTATTTACTAGACACGAAATTGCAGTGAAAAGTGAATTGGTAAATCTGGGCTGAACTAGACAAGCTACAACAGCTGAAAGAAACAGCTTTTATTTAAATAGGTTTTTCTCCTAATCTATACATTTGTCAGAAAAACTGCCAGCACAATTTAAAAATAAAATTGTATGCTCAATCTAATAAGCATATGTTGTTTGGGACATTACAGGTGCCCTTTAATTTACGAATGAAGCATACTTGCACATAGACTCCAAGAGGAGACAGCACATTTCACGCACACTGGCCATGGCCAGCCTGAATGGTGATGTCATGGTTCATATTAGCAGTAGAGGGTTCATCTTTCACAGCTGACTGTTGGCACAACCTAGAAAATGTGATCCTATAATTTCATAAATTATTGTGGTTGAATACCAGTATTCAAAAAAGGATGTGAAGACGCAAGTCTGCTTAAGTACGGATTTGGAAAAAAAGAGCTAGAACAGAAATAATAATAATAATAAACCTATTTTGAAAAGTTCAAAAATGTTTCAGTATGTACACATGTATGTATATATAGCATAGTAGTCATGGGAGTTACATTCCCAGCTTTCATTTCTCACATTGTAACCGGTATGTTGGCATATTTAGAGCATTTGAAAATAATTCCAGGGACACTTTGTGGGGAGATTTATTACAGTGTCGCCGACTCTTTCAGATTTAATTTTCAGCCAATATTTTCATCCATTTATTATTTTTTTTCATTTATGGTTTCTTTTGTGCACTAACTATAATTTTTTAATATATGCTATTATTTTAGAGACACCAGAGACTTAGTCCTTGTTCCTCATGTACTTTCGAAAATGCCATAAAAATAAGTGTTGGAAAGATTGATTAAGAGGACAGAACGGGAGAAAAGGAGGAAGAACAGGAGAATTATAAGGCAAGGGGGGATGGGGCCAGTGAATGCCATGTAAGACTTGTACTATTTATTATCCATCACCACTCTCTCCCACTCGTAATGGATCTCATCAATACTCTGTATTTGCCAGTCCTTGTGTATGAGGTTAATAAAACAATCACCCTAGCAAGAATGCTTTTGGTGTATGCCCTGCATCTGTCTTTTGCCCCACTATAACTCTGTTAAACCCACCTTGTCATGTCTGATGGGATACAGTTGCATCCATGAGTGCTATTCCCAGTAACCTCAGGCAGACTGGAACATTTGTGTCCAATTTTTATTGCATTATGAATACCTGTGGCGAAACCGACCTCGCCACTGGGCATTGGAGAAGACTGATTGCCAGCCTCCTGCCATGTGACTATGGCCCATAGGATGTATTGCCCTTTAAAGACATGATTTGGGCATAATGGATTTGTGTTGTGCTGCTGCTGGCCCTTTAAGAACCATCTGGGGACATACTGTGGAGTTACTGGGTGGCCACCATTTCCTGTATCAGAGGCACATGGTGAGAACAATGGATGAAGCACATGGTGAGAACAATGGATGGCGGCCATTTTAACTCACAGACACTGTTTGGACTTTTCAACACGTGCCATCTCGCCGGTATTTGGTGCACAGAGACATTGTGCAGTGGTTTTGGACTATACAACAGGGGACACATTATACAGTAATTGTTTTTCATATAGCCTGCATATGTTCTGTGGAATCTGCATTAAACTGTATCTTCCAAAGTACTGAATGGATCTGGGTGAATTTTGGATATGTGGTTCACCCAGATCCCCCGGTTCCAAGGATATACTTTATGGGGTTATTGCATGTTTTGGGGTCCCTGTGATGTGTTTTATGAAACTGTATTTCTCTGTCTGTGATAATTATATTACCCATTGTGTAAGGTAATTGTATCACAGGCAGAGGGGAGGATTTTGTGTGGGAGTGTCTGAGTGTATTGTACGTGTTTATTGGTTGTTTTCCAAAACCCTGTGGGTGGTACTAATGTGTATATAAGAACAATAAACCCACAGCTCTGGCAGTTCTGCTTGACCTCCAAACGAAGTGTCGTCTCGTTATTGGGGGAATTGGATTGTATGCTGATTGCCAGGAGTGTAAGCTGAATGTATGCTTTTCCTGTTCAGCTGCTTACAGCATTCAAATGCTTGAGAGCATTCGTATGCTTCTCCGGTTCGGTGGTTGTGGTGTCTGCTGCAGTGCTTGGAGTCCTCAGGAAGCGCTAGGAGCATCCTTCAACAGAGGTACCCAGTCGGGGTGTCCGTCGATCCGTTACAATACCTTTATGGAATAAATTTATATTTATCTACAAAAAAAGCCCTGAGAGTGCATCTCTTCATTCATTTTTATTCATTTACAATGTGGGATTGCACCCAGGCATATAGCACTGTGATTACTCTGGAGAAAGGGTGAGTGCCAAGCTAGATATATATAGATATATCTATATCTATATATCTATCTATCTATCTATCTATCTATATATATATATATATATATATATATATATATATATATATATATATATATATATATATATATGTATATATATGTATATGTACAGGGATACATAGAGCTGTACAAAAAAAGAAGTTTAACTGGCCACTGCAGATTACAATCATTAATACAAAGCTAATTGCCATATGCAATCTTCCAAGCCATATAGCCAAGATTTAAGATTCCTGCTCTGCGGTCATGCATTTGTGGTAAGGAAAGAGAGAGGGAAAAAAGCTCTTTAAAAATTGCAGTATGGAATCATTGTTAAATCGCCAAGGTACGCAAGTACAATGCAGAACATATCTGAGAAGGCTTCAGAAGACAAGCCGATACTGCCATAGTTTTGAAAAGTATGTAGTATTTCTGTATTAGGAATGCATGACATTGAGATTTCCTATACTAGGTATGCACTTAAAGAGAACATTGTATTCATCTTATTGTTATACAAAATTAAGTATATATTGTAAAATTCTAGGCCTAGGTTTTTACAAAAGAAATTCACTATTCTGTGATAAAAGAGTTGCACTGTCTTAGTTCAACAGGATACAGCAAAGTGGTTTATTTATTTATTTATTTTTAAAGAGAACTTTTCATTTTACTTCTATTTAGGTGATCGGTTACCTTTTTTTCAAACAGGTTGTGGTCCAATTCATCTTCAGAACTCTCCTCCGTGTGTTGCTGCTCCTGCATATCCTTCATTTTGATGAGGAGTTCGGCCTTTGGAGCAGAAGTGCTATAATATGCAGAACTGGTCGTCAAGGAAATGGCCGCCGTCACGTTCTGCTCATCTTTCCTGCCATACAATAAAAAAAATGTCCTCATTAAATATGTACTTCATCAATGTAGATACTGGTACCGCTATACTAAAAATAGAGGGGATATACAAAACTGGAGACAGAAAAACTCCCACCAAATGTGTAGTGGTTGTGGGGTAATACAGGGCCTAACCCAGAGAAAGGAGATAATAGAGAGCGCTTGAAAACATGTCTGCAAGGAAGCACACCTGGTTCCAGTCCTATTACCCTAATGGAAATTACTAAGTAAAGGTAATTGGCATATAGAGCCTAATTTACATAAGCATAGAAAATAAAAAAACTTTATTGTCCAATATTGGATAAACACAGTAAACATAATTCAAACATAAAAAGTAAAAATGTAAAATGATTTGTTATTAATTTTGTTTGCCTTTGGAAGGGCAGAATTACTTATGCAGGGTTGAAGAAATGGTTGGCATCTTTATGCCTCTGTCAAGGAGGGGGCACTATGTAGAGCATTTGTAATGATAGAGCAGGGATAGGCAACCTTTGGCACTCCAGATGTTGTGGACTACATCCCCCCCATAATGCTGGCAAAGCATCATGGGAGGTGTAATCTAAAACATCTGGAGTGCCAAAGGTTCAATGTGCCTGTGATAGAGTATGAATCAAAATTTGCGTTGTGCACCTGGTCTAGACATTAACTCAAGGCTATTGTATAAATATCTTTCGGAGTGCATAAAGCAATATTTACCAGTGCAATTCCATTAAATAATTTGATGCATTTTTTTTTTTTTTAAACTGGAGGGCTCTTTGACACAGTTCCCCAGTCCAACTAGCGATGGGAGTCACACTCCTGGAAGCAGTCCTGGGCAATGTGCCATGTAAAGTACAATGTATTCCATATTGTGAGACAACTGACGCGAATAAAATATCTATCTGATTAAAACTAAATCCACAGGAATGTTAGAAATCTACTGGATTTTCAAGACAAATTCTTAAACTTTGGAGTTTAGGTTACAACGTGCTTACCAAGTAACCAAATGCTTTCTAAGCGGCCAAGGGGGATTTTAAACTTTTGAGAAGAAAGCAACATGACACTGGATATCATATGAATCCCTTAAATAAAATATCTGTACTGAACTTGGCATGTTAACAGCTTAGACTTAACAAAAACAGTCAACATGTCTTTGCTCGGTAGTTGATAAGTAGTCCCAGGTAGTGATGTCAGTCTTAGGATTTTTTTTCCCCTTTGCTTTGAGTAATGTATTCAAATGGTCTTTGCAAAATGTTTTTTTTTTTTTAAAGAATTCCATTGCAAGCTTAGTGGATTCATGAAAAGAAGAATGCCGGTTTGTATGGTCAAGTCTAAATGGATTAACAGAAGTGCAAGGTGGCACGTGGGCAACCTTCCAAAATGGTATGGCAATACTGAAGGCAGGATTAAGAAGTGTGCCTTTGACATTCAAAGAAGAGTCTATTATTTCACTTTGAAATTAAGAGCAAGTGTTTACAGTACTTCCTGTTTAACAGGTTCTAATGTGTTCATGTTGAGCTTTGTAATTTTATATACATATATGTTTTCAAGTATTCCTGCAGTAGAAAGATAAAATTAAATCAATAGTCCCTTTAGGATGCTGTTTGTTTTTTAATTTCTTTACAAAACGTGTATAAAAAATTGTTGTGCTTCCCCCCTCTTGCATATTCAGAAGTGGCAATAGCAGATAGAGAAAATGCTAATGAATACTAAGGAACCGTGATAAGTTCATCTATAAAGTTTAGAAGCATTTTGGCTAAGCAGTCTAATTATTATTTACTGAGCCAACTGTGCTAAACTTGATATCTAGTGAATGGGTGAGTTAGTTACACTCTTGAAGATCAATTATATAAAACAAATACATAAAAAAAGAAGATATAGATTATATTGGCTCCAGGAAAAACAAATTACACAAAATGAATAGATAAGAAATCTTAACATTCCAGTGCTTACTTCTCATCGGAAGGCCTTGGAGATGGGACTTTCGGATTAAGTTTTCTACGTTGTTGGGCTTCTTCTAAAAGATTTTCATCTTTCTGGAATATGCCTTCCATAAGGTCCATTGTGGTCTTCATTTTGGTGTTAGGATCTAAAATGTCTGCTAAAGACTTATCTTTACCAACAATTTCTCTCATCAGCTCCTCTGATTTTAAGTCTGCATAGACAACTTTGCTCTTTACACTGTTGGGTGTAGGGGAAGGAGCCTTGTTTTCTACGGATTCTTGAGTAACTATGTTGTCAGTCGCTCCAGACAGGTCCTCTGGGTCTGGGTCATGTCTTGTGTAAGCACAGAAGCGGGAATAAGATTGTTCTGAGGTGCTAAGAGTTTTGAGTTGGTCCTTGGCAAGTCCAGAGGGTAAGGCAGGTGGCTCAATGGCACTTAGCAAATTGTTCCTGCTTTCTTTCTCCGCATGGCTTTCTGAATGAACAATCTTAATTGGGACCATTTTCACAGTAGTGTTGTCTATCAACCGTTCAATCCTGCAAGAGAAGTGCAGTCGATAAATGACAAACAAGCCCAGTTGCACAATATTTCCATGTACTAAATATCTGCTTTATATTTAAATGAGCAACACTGATGGTAATTCTCAACCTCTGTAAATACAAGAAAAACTTGCATAACTCCAACAGCTCAATTACAGAAGTCTTTACATTCTTTGCAGATATCATATGTGCATTATTAACATGTGGACGATGCATACATTCAATTAGTTGAAAATATTGCAATCAGTTCACATCACAGCCTCTCACAACTCTGTTTTACAGGAGCTACAATCAGCTTCTAGGTGTCACGGTGTACATACAGGTAATGTCATGTTGGGGTTCCTTAGAGACCCCTACCATATTTAAATGCAGAAAACACAGGCACAAGCAGCTTGGCACAAAGGGAATGCAGTCTGTGCCACACACAGGATCCAGGAGAAGACTGCTTTCAGGGTGTGTGCAGAAAGAAACTCACCTCTCTCCAGAAAGGTGGGGTACTAATGTCAACTGTTTAATTGCAAATAGTATGTGGGGGGGAGGATGCCGTCCTAAATCGATCCACTCGTTTGCAACTTACAAATACTATAGGCAGTGGTTCCCAAACCAGTTCTCATGGTTCAGCAACAATCCAGGATTTATGCATTTCCCTTTTTATTTCATGGGGATACAGACAAAAGCTGGACTGTTAATGGGTCATGAGGACTGTGGCCTGCTATAGAAGAGATTTAATGGGCTCTTAATGTGCCTGCTGATTTCACTGCTTTCCATAATGGCAACCCCACTTTTAGTGCTTTAGACTACTTTAATAAAATATCCACTTTGTGTCTTCTCTTCTGAATGCAAAGTCACATGTTCCCTTCTACATATAAATCAAATCATAATTACATAAAGAACAAATGTTTTTGACAAGACGATTAGGTAATTACTGGGTTTAAGAAATTTGGTTTGGAAAATAGAATTTTTTATTTTTTTTTCACAATCTTGACATTCAATAAAATGTTTAATGATAAACATATGTAGGGGGTCTCCTTACTAAATGGAGAGTTGCGACATGCCAAAGAAAACCATACAAAATTATATTTCCGGCTCAACCAAGGAGGGGTCATTTATGCATCACGATTATTGTGGTCAAAATCATGCAAGTTTGTGGTCAAGTCATAAATCAACATTTAGTAAATAGACTCCAATGTTTCACTGTATCAACATTTTCACTAACATTCCAACAGAGCAAAACAACTCAAGGATTTCCTTTTTTTGGGTGCCCAGTAATGGTTATGGCCACTGGTAATATGTCATTACCAAAGGCAGCATGGCAATTTTATGATTATATGCTATGTTTCGGTGGTTTGTTTAAATTAAATGGCAGAACTAAAGCAAACCAGGAAGCTGCTCTTTTTGTTTCTCTGCCGAAATTCAATATGGAATGTAGTATTTTGCTCAAATGAACAGTTCAAAAGCAAAGCAAATTGTACGTAGGTCAAAAGATATGCTAAACCTTCAGTTGCTGTAGAGGACAGCAAATCATTCGGACAGGAAAGATGTATAGTTTCTCTGGCGCAGATCTCTTTGTGCTTTCATGATTCAAACTTTTTGTAGATAATCCATTACACATTTCACTTATCAGATTTCTAGCTTTTCTTTTTGTGGTCTTATCAGAGAGTTCAAATAACTTTTACTCTTAAAGTGTAATATGTGCATTCGTGCTACATTCAGGACTATTAGGACTGCAGAGAGCACTGAAACAGCGCTTCCTGTATGGCCTGCCTCAGTGGGTTTGTCCTGCTTGATTTGATTTTTAGTAATTTGGTAAAACTGCTCCCCTATTGGCAAAGGCACTGTCCTGCCCCCTTGATCCCCTCCACTGGTGTCCCACTTCTTGGGGTGCAGATGTTTGGGGGAGGGGGGAGGTGGGGGAAAAGTGGGTATGCTAATCAGGGGGTAAAGAAAAAAACCTTTATGAAATACTCATGTTAAATCTGTTGGAATTTCAGTAAAATGCCAGTGTGAAAAAGATATAATAGGTAGGGACTAATTTGTCTTAAGGGCAAATTTCAGGTTGACAAAAGGTGATTCAGCCATAAACCTCCACAAAGAAAAAGTTCTCCTTGCAGCCCAATACACCTAGCATCATTTCATTCCCCTACAATGCAGTGAAAGGGGGGTTGTGGTAGTCAGGAGGCAAGGTTGTCAAGTGCCATTGGGTGAAGGGAGTGGCCATGCAGCCATTGTAACCTAAACTCTTTAAGCTAATCCCTTTGGCTGCCACACACAAATCAAGGGTGTTACCTTTGGTAGTCTTGGCAAACTATGTGAAGACTCTTAAAAGTGACAGACGCTTTAAAGAACATTTTGGTGGCCGTGACATATGAATTATATAGTGTATTTGTTTAAAGTTAAACATTCTCTATTTCATAATAGAAATTAAACATACCATTAACATATGAAATGTTCAAAATACTAAACAATAGAAGTAACATCTAGTAAAACACATACCTGGACATGTTCTCATCTTGAACTAGAAGTGGAGGTTTGTCTGTAAGTTTTTGAGGAGCAAACTGAGGAGAAGGTGACCTAGATCGTTCCATTACAGGTTTCTGCAGATAAGAAAACTTTCTGGGTTCTACAGGTTGAGAATCAAAGAGCTTCTTCTCTAAATGTAGGTTTTCATTCTGTGATGGCCCTGAATAATCTTGTTCATGCAAAGGAATGCTCAGATATTTATCCGTAACAACTAGTTGTTGAACCTGAGATGGTTCAGGTTTAGCAGAATCCAAGGGATTAGGTGAATGAGACTGGACACATCTACCTTGGGCAGTGATCAGTGATTCTGAAGATGTAGTTAGAGAGGACGTAGATCCGTTTTGGCGCCAATACTGGTCTAGTTTGGGTGGAGGTGGTCTTTGGGGAGCAGACCTACGCTGTTTGTTCACAGATACCTGGTCTTCCCATTGGTTTTCACCATCTGCATGAGAAACGTTTCTTGTTTCAGAGCGTGTTTCCAAATTAGAAACAACTGAATAGCAGGAATCTTGGTTTACATTTTCATTTACAAATCTATAATCACTTGGCAGTGTCCCAGACCTAACCCTGGTTTCCTGGGATGCATTATGTGCTTC